GTTATTTACAATCGAATCGCACACAGCATCAACTTTTTCTCTTTCGCGATTCGGATCGGTGAGCACAGCTTGACTTTCACTCTGAACAGTGTACTTTCGCATCGCGATATCTCGATCTCCTTGGATCTCTCTTTATTCTTTGTCTTTATTCTTGTTACCTCAGAAAAATATTCCTTCATACTCGTATATATATGTTTTTCAATGATAAAGAGACTGAACATAAATTACTGCGTTTATAATATTTGTCATACAATTTTAAAACATTATTTATCCATTAAAAAATATTTTTTAATAAATAAAAACTTTGAACGACGATAAATATTCTGAAATATGATACAGTGTATGTAAAGAAAATTTGCAGTGTAAAGAATGGATTGAAACTCATATTAAAAATAATAAATTAGAAAAAAATCAATGACCGTGATATTTACAATTGCGAAGGAAACAACTTCCAGATGCAAATAGAAATAGTAATGCTTTTAATTTATTCATTGAAGGATTGAAAAAATATTGTATCTTTTCAAAATTGAAGGGAAATAGCAGAAATCTAAAATTAAACCAACGAATAATGAATAAAAAAAAATTTACAAAAAATTTAAAATTAAATTAAAAAAAAAACACAACAAATATTTACACATTAAAATTGAAATCTAGGAAAAGTATAAAATTAAATTTAGAAATTATATGGTAACTTGCCTCCACATCTTCAAATTTTCGTATTCAATTATATCAAAGAAGAAGATGGTATCGCGATACGTAAGATCGAGAAGATCTGTTGAACAATGAACCATCTAAACTAACAAATTATCGTCCTGGCAGGCTGGACCCATGCTCGGCCAATTGCATGCTCCGGCGCCATTGTCGAAGGTTAAATGCACAGGGCAGTTGAACATGTGGAGCGTGAACTTCTTCTTCCACTCGTCCCAATGACAAGCGTAAAACTTATTGCAGAAGTTGGGATGTCTGAACAAACCTGGTCTAGCACAGTTGGTGGCTCCATCTATGATCTCCTCCGATTCACCATCTCCATCAAAGTGGTTCACAGGTGTATCTAAATTTCTGGTGGCACTAATGATATTGGTAGAGGAGCCAACATTGTTCAAACTCTTTCCAGATCTGTAATTGGCAGTGAATTTTGAAGTATCAGAGTTTATTGAAGGAGTGACACTTGGCAGATAACCAGATGATGGCGTCTCTTGGATTTGGGAATGACTCTGTATTTGATTGTTCCAGATCTTTATTGGTCCTTTAGAAGATTCGTAATTGGTCACATAATCTCCATCCTCGTATGAGTTATTTTCCTTTTCAAGATCTACGTAAATTTCTGATTCGTCGTAATTGGATAGATCCACTTTGCCTTTGGAGGAATCAATCAATTTGGAACCTGGACCTCTAAGATTGGCGAAAGGATCTCCTCTACAGGTGCATTCTGCACCTAATTTTCCAAGCAGAAGAGGATGCAGATCACTCCATTTCACTATCACTTTGCCTTTACCTACAGCTGTCGACTTGGCAGTAGTTTGGTAAGTGATGATTGAGGATGGTTTTGAATAACCTCCAGAATAAGTAGTCACTGAGAAAGGCGATTGTGTCGTTTTAGTGGCTGAGGATGTTGATGCAACATAACCTGGCTTGGATGTTGATGATTGTTGATGAATCTTGGAGTAATCTGCTCCAGAAATAGATCCTGTTGTGTAAATATCATATTGGCTTGGCACATATTTTGTATTGCCTCTATAATTAGTAATTAATTTTCCAACTTCTTCTTTAGAAATTCCTACGTTCGTAGGAGAACCATCACTAGTAACCGATTCTATAGTGTATGTTTTAGAAGTTGCTGGTGTTGATTGTTGATAAATAACACTAGGTTTTCTATATTGATATGTTGTATCAATGGCTGGCGAGATTGTGCCGCTAGGCAAATACTGAAAATTGAATAAAATCATTTAAACAAAAAATATATTTATTAAATAATGATGATCTTATTTAATAATTAATAAATCAAAATGTTCTTAAAATTTACCTGTTTTAATGATTCTGAAATACCAGAAGGTGTTACAGTTTCAAACACGTTCTTGGTTGTGGTGAAATATCCAGAACTGGATGATGGAGTAGTAGATCCAAACTAAAAATATCATTAATAAAATTATTATAAATCATACAACAATAATCTTCCAGATTAAGAAAAAAAGACACACCTCTGGACCTGATATCTTGAACACTGTTGCTGGTGTACTAGTAACATATTCGCCCTGTTGAGTAGTTTTTATTCCAAAATCAAATTTGGATTGAGTCTGAGTACGATATTTGTCCTGACTTATAGTCACAGGAACAGGCGTCGAAGATACAACAGTCTTATATCCAGTATCGATCAGTGGATGAACTGTGGATACACTGATTGGAATTTTAGCTGCTTCAAAAACTGTTGTTTTATAACTGTCAAATGGTCCAATAGTATAACCAACAGATGTACCAATTGTGGGTGCACGTGTGAAGCCACTTGGTCTCTGATAAGTGCCTACAGTTGGATTGACAGGTTCACTGAATTTTGACGTATTATACAATTCAACATTCAAGAAAGGCGTTGGAGTAGTTGCAGTAATAAAACTGCCCTTTGTCGAAGAAATTGGTAAAATTTTCGTTACTCCACTATCAAATGATATACTAGGTGTAGGATAGGAATAGGTAGGACTTTTCGAAAGTCCTAGATTAGGTTTAGACTGACCTATATCTTGACTGTATGTCGAAGTTGCTCCTGAATAGGCTTCATTGACACTGCTTTCAGTGGATGATTTCGTATATCCTGCTACATTACCTTCGAAAGCTTTCGCGCCAATATGTTCAGGATTAGGAGTTGGAACTGATTTTCCAGTACTAATTACGTAACTACCACCAGCGCCTAAAGTAGCAATAGTAAAGCCAGTCTTAGTAGGTCCAATCTTAGTAAATCCACTAGGGTATGAAGATCGATCTCTGCTTCCAGGAATAAGAGTGTCTGGGGGAATAGATTCTCCAGATGGTCTATAATCTGGAATATCTTTTTCTGTATATTTGGTTGTCACATCGCCATTGTTAAATTTGATAGTACCGCGTCCTCCATTATCATATTCATTAGTCTTATAACTGGTGCCATGTGCTGGTGACACGTTTGCAATTTTAGTTCCATATGAATATGGTGGTGTGACAATTCCTGATGGAGTTGTATAACCTGAATCAGTAAATATATGATGTCCTGTGGAGCCAATTGTTCCTTGATCGATGGAACCACCAATAGAGACTCCAGGTGCCGGTTGCCCTGTAAGTATTAATCCAGGACTCGTTTGACCCTTTACAACAGTTCCAGTTTCTGGTGCTCCGGTTATTACGACACCAGGTGTAGATGTTCCATATATCACAGTTCCAGGACTAGCAGAACCATAGATAGTTTTGATTCCATCACCGACCACGTAGCCAGGTGTACTTGGACCAGTTTTTGTATATCCTGGATGACTTACTCCAGTCAATATACTACCTTGATCGGAAGGACCTGTGAAAACTGTGCCAGAACTGCCTCCATAAGTGATAAGTGTTCCTGGAGTGGAGCCTCCAGTGATGATCGATCCCTGGACACCGTGTCCTGTTGCAATATCACCAGTACCGACGGTTGTTTTTATTTTATAAATGTCGTTGGACGTTACGTCTCCATAATATGGCGTAGAAGGTACATGACTTCCTAAAGTAGCATTTAAACCTCCAGTATATTCACCAGTGACTTGATAAACGTTTGTTTCAGAAGTAATTCCATGGTTTGAAATGTAATCATTTGTTGTATACGTTTGGCTACTTGGTGGAGGAGAACATTGGATGGTAATACAAGTTGGTACATTAGGCTTGTCCACAAAAATGGCTACAAATTGAATAATAATAAATTAAATATTTGAATTATTTTCAAGTAAAATTATTCTTATGAAAACTTACGAGTTTTTGAATATATATTAGTTAATCCAGTTCCAGTTGTACCACTGAAAGTATAAATTGGAGTCTGTGATGATTGTCCACTTTGGCCTCCTGTTCTAGATCCTGAGAATTTCGTTCCTGTTTGTCCAGTATAAATGTATCCAGTTCCTGAATAATCAGTTCCTGCAGAAGATCCTGATATCGTTGATCCATAAGTAGATCCTGGAGATTTTACACTAGGAAGACTATCTTTTATTCCTGATCCACTATAGTCTTCTGTTACAATGGTAGGAGTTTCTCTAGAATATCCATCAGTGAATTGCACATTGGTACCACTATATCCTCCATGACCTGTTGTTCCTGGATATCCTTTATCAATTGATTGTGATCCAGTACCATGACTAATAAAATCTTTTCCGAAATATTCTAGACTTGTACCAGTTTTACTTGAATATGTGGGTCCAGTATAACTTGTGCCAGTTGCTCCATTATATATTCCATTTGTTTCTGTATGTCCAAGGTTTCCTGTTCCACTGTATCCAGTAAATACTTGACCTGTTCCAGTGTATCCAGTAGGACCTTGACCTGTTCCAGTGTATCCAGTAGGACCTTGACGTGTTCCAGTGTATCCAGTAGGACCTTGACCTGTTCCAGTATATCCAGTAGGACCTTGACCTGTTCCAGTGTATCCAGTAGAACCTTGACCTGTTCCAGTGTATTCAGTAGATACTTGATTTGGTCTAGTATGTCCAGTAGATACTTGCCCTGATCCAGTATATCCAGTAAAGACTTGACCTGGTCCAGTGTATCCAGTAGATCCTTGACCTGTTCCAGTATATCCAGGGGATTCTTGACCTGTTCCAGCGTATCCAGTTGATACTTGACCTGCTCCAGTATATCCAGTAGATCCTTGACCTGTTCCAGTATATCCAGGGGATTCTTGACCTGTTCCAGCGTATCCAGTTGATACTTGACCTGCTCCAGTATATCCAGTAGATCCTTGACCTGTTCCAGTATATCCAGGGGATTCTTGACCTGTTCCAGCGTATCCAGTTGATACTTGACCTGCTCCAGTATATCCAGTAGATCCTTGACCTGTTCCAGTATATCCAGTAGATACTTGACCTGATCCAGTATATCCAGTAAATACTTGACCTGTTCCAGTATATCCAGTAGATTCTTGACCTGTTCCAGTGTATCCAGTTGATACTTGACCTGATCCAGTGTATCCAGTAGATACTTGACCTATTCCAGTATATCCAGTAGATACTTGACCTGGTGTAGTATGTCCAGTAAATATTTGACCTGATCCAGTGTATCCAGTATGTACTTGATTTGTTCCAATGTATCCAGTAGATGATACTTGACTTGTTCTAGTTCCTGAATATCCTGTATTATGAGATTCTGTGTATACTCCACTCGTTGATCCATAATGATCTGGTCCTGCACCATTTGGATTATTATAATTAGATGATCCTGTTTTTCCAGTTTTGTCACCATAGTTTATCGTGCTAGTTCCTGAATATCCATGATCAGTTCTTATTTGACTCGTACCTGTTCCAGTATATCCACTTCTACTTCCTGAATATCCAATAGATCCTTGATCAGTATACGAAGTGCCATGATCTTCTCCTGCTGATCCAAAATATCCAGCACCAGTTGTTCCAGAGTAACCATCAGTTTTTTGACCAATATATGTAGTTCCATGACTTATTCCTTCTGATCCAGAAAATTCTTTACTAGGTGCAGAATAACTACCAGTAACTCCAGTTGTTATAATATAATTACTAGTTCCTTGATTAAATAAAATTCCATGGCCTTCTACTTTTGATCCAGATAATCCACCAAGCCCTTGATCACTATACGATGTTCCATATCCTTTTGTTACTGTTGTGCCAGTATATCCTCCAATTCCTTGTCCAAAAGTGGACCCAATTCCAGCTGATCCAGAAAATCCTGACCCAGCACCAACCGTTGTACCAGTATATCCTCCTCCTCCCCCGGTTCCCGTGTACCCATGAGGTAATGCTCCAGTATAATATCCTCCAGTACCTGGAGTGGATCCTGTACCATATCCTCTGCTATCATATTCTGATCCTGTGTAACTACCAGAATAGCTTACTACCAGCCAAGGCCATTCGCAAATTAATTTTTGCTCGTCGAAAATCAAACCGTACGGGCAACGAAACTCGTAGGCCATTATTTCTGGTCCTCCTATCGTGATAATTTTCATTAATCATCTATTTCAAATTATGAAATTAAAAAGAACGAATGAAATAAATAAACAAGAGATACAAACCTAGATCGATGCAGGCGAAGAACCAACGAGGATTTTGAGGATCCGCGAAATAGCCAGTTTGGGATGGACAATGGAATCTCACTCTTGTCACAGGTGCAATTTCGCTGCTTCCAGGACATGGAGATCCTTCTGGCATGGAACCTGGCCAAACACAAACTTCTGTACTCTCGTCGAAAGATAAACCTGCTGGACAATCGAACTCGAACACGGAGTAATCTTCCACTTCTTGATTGAATTTCACGCATCGATAAAATCTGTTCAAAAAAAGTAGGAAAATTTTATACAATGATCAATTTGCAATTGGGATATATTGTACCTGTTGCAACTCTTAGGATGGACGAAGTAACCTTGTCTGGAACAAGTGAACTCAGTTTGAGTGTTCTCTCGAACTACTCTGATATGTCCTTCTGTATCTACTACGCGAACAACTCGAAACTCGGATGATTTGACTTTAGTTGAATATTCAAGTTCTCTTTGCTGAAAAAAAATTATTTAATTTTATGTAACAAATTAAATATTTAACAAAACTGTTATGTTTTTGGCAGAAATAAAATATGTATATCATTAATAAAGTAATATAAATTTCTTATTAAAAAATTGAAATCAATTTAAATAATATTGGAATTATTTATATATCTATTGATATATATATGATCTGAACTTTTATCAAAAGATCGACGTATCGATGAAGATTTCGATCAATAAAATTAATTTTATAAAATATCGAAAATTAAATAAAGCATTAGAGTTATATCGAATGTTAAATAATAATAAGAGGAATGTAAGATCCTTTTCAAAATATTCCATTGTCCAACAAGTCATATTTAAAAACAGATGTTAATTAACGTTAATAAGAGTCCAATTATTTTTATTTACGTGTAAATCGTCTTCCAAAGCATTTAACACAGCAGCTCTAGACTTCCTCTTGAAATCCATAAAGGAATGATGAATCTCATGCGTGATAGGCGCGCCACATTTCGTTTTGAAATCATTTTCTATATCCTGTACACCTAATCCGGGGAGATCTCGAACCAGTACATATTTTCCCTTCAGAAATCAATCATAAAAATCATCAATTGTGAAATAATTTTAATGAGAATTAAAATGAATATTCCTCTCACTTTAATTGAAACCGATATTCTATCTTCAAAAGCAATCCACATTTTGTCTTTGAAAGAGTAAGGAGCAGTAAGATCTTCGTCTCTTTCCACCGTCCACTCTCCTTTATTCATCAAATCGCATAACTGAAAGTATAATAAATAACATGTCAATGCAAGTTCCATTTATTCAATTTATACAGGATGTCTAATTTAATTTATCATTATAACTAGATAGAAGAAAAAATTTCTAACATAAAAATCTTAAAAGCATTTTCTCTTATGTATCTTCTATAATACTCTACTTATTAAATTTAAATTAAATTTTCAAAATAAATTTTATCTTCCTCTATATTAATCTTCCCTCAAATTCTACACCTTTAAAATCACTTCTCAAAAATTGTCTTCTTCTTCAAAAAAGATCCGATTTAATTGATCAATCCAAAATTCTTCTCCATTATTTCTCAAAAAATTGTTCATATAAATTGGCCTGTTTCACACCTGTTTCTGATCAATGACAATCGGTTGCATCTCCTCGGTGGGCGCGCTCGGGGCATTGTCGTCCCGATCCTTGAGCGTAAACCTGTAAGCGCTTGACGGCACGGACACCAAGATTTTCCTCTTTGGCGCGCCCAATCCGCTAATCAAGTCGATCAAACTATCCGCGTTGAACATGTCGAAGAGGCCCATCAATCGTGACGGATGGAACGTACGATAAGACTCGTCATCTTCGACCAGGTAATGCGTGGGTACCGTGAATAGATCCACGTACCTGTCGGCGAAAAACACGGAACTCCATTTGCATTTATGCACATTTATGCGAAGAGTAATGAAAAAAGAAGAGGAGGAGGAGTGAGAAGAAGAAGAAGAAGGAGAAGAAAATGAGGGGGAGAGGAAAAAAGGATAATCGTTAGTCGATTTATTCCATTCCATGAATCATTTCTGAAAATATACATAAACACGTGTTGTTTCGAAACAACGTAATAGTTCCGGAATAGTATCGCTTGTATAAGCTGATCATGATTACCGCTATAAGTGTCGTCTCGATATGACTATCTCATTCATATTTCAAGAACGGTCTCGTGTTACCCTAAAACTCATGCATATGCGATGAAATATTTCGCATAACATAAGAGAATCATAGGCAATAATAGGTTTGTCCCATTATCCGTTATACGACATCTCGTCTTAAAAAATGCTTCATAAACATTGTTTATAACATACTTTCAATCGCCATTAAATATTATCAATAGCAAAAGTAGTTACTTATATATTCGTATATAGACACTCTGTTAAACATCCACGATTAATTTTTTCTTTTTTTCGATCGATATTTTAATTATATCTTTTATATACTACACGTGTACAATGTTATTCTTAGAAACGATCAATAGCAAAAGGAAAATTCTTATCTTACGTTCCACTTTACTATGTAACGCAACGTCCAATTGTCTGAAGCATCCATTGTCATTCGATAATTTCGAATGAGTTTCGATTCTCATTCCTTCTTTCGTTCTTTGCACCCTCGTCCATATTCAATGGCAAAAGTGGCAAACGATACAACGTGTACGCTACACGCATGTCATCTAAAGCGACCACGTTAATTGCAAGGAGCGTGAAAATCAAGCATGGTTCGACCGAGAACGAGGCGTATCGACTTGTCGCGGCATTCCTAATGTGTTATCCGGTTGAGAATTGGCACAAGGTTAGGCAGATACGTCGAGTATGGACGTGTAAGTAGTTTTTTTTTTTTTTTTTTTGCTGAATCCATTCCGATTGTCGGTCAATAATTCATGAACTTAAGCGCAATCGAGTTTCGAGATGCTACGTGTCTGGCTTAGGTCTGGTTGGAAGTTGGGCGTGCTGTGAGACGTTTTTTTCACGGCTGGAAAAGGGAATAGCTGGGATATATGTCTGAGAGTTTAAGGAAAGTTGAAAGGTATGTCGTTTGGAGAGAAGTGTCAACAATTGTTGATTGCGAGGAGAAAAATTGAGAGAGTTATTCGAATATCGCGTTACAAAAATAGTCAGTTCGTAAAAATACAAAGACGATGAATTTTACGAAATAGTACGTTATAAAAATTGTGTGAACTGTCTATTTTCGAATTCTAGTTCAAGTTTGTAATTTATCGAGTTTAAAATTAATTTCTTACTTGGATAATTCTTTCAAGTCGTATTGTTTGGCCAGGTCCTCTGATTTCGTGGGTAGGACCAAGAAGATTCTCTTGTCGTACGATTTCCTCAAGAACTCGTCTTTCAAACCTTTCACAAAATGGGCTAAACGTTCCTTTGTTCCAGCAGTCATGTTCAACTCGACTCCATCAACCTGTGGATAGATTGAAAATAAAAATCGTTCGAGAATGGATTATTTTGATTTTTTCTTTTTTTTTTTTCGATAATAAAAATGTGAAATTGCCTCTTTCAAAACTCCGATCAAACGAGCCGTGATCTCTTGGCGAACTGTGCCGGAAGTTCTCAACGTTTTTGCAGGATCGTCCACGGAAATCACGAACTGAAGAGTTGGGACAATCTCCTTCAATGATTTCCGGAAGTCTTCAAATTCTAGAAAGAAATTAATGAAATGGAAATATTAGTTACTTTGATATATTAAATTGTACAATTATCATTTGCGTAAAAGGAGATAAAGGAACGAAGGAATTTTTCAAATAATAAATAATTTGAGTTTAATTATATCTATAAAGGAAGTTTTCGAAGTTTTTTCGAGCGTTAAAAATTTTCTTATTTTTATAATGTAATTAATAATATTTCTTGCAATTTCTTTGTAATTATATCGTTCTGCATTTTATTTTTGAAGACTTGGTTATTGCATTAACTTTTTTCTAACCCTATATAAATTATCACAATTTTTTCTAATTTCTCAAGATATTCAATCTAATTACCAGATTTAGCGATAGTAACGTTCACTTGTAGAATAAAAACTGTTCTCTCTAGAATTTCCGGCTTCCTTTTCGTGATTGTCGATCTCGTCGCACAATCAACACGATACGATGCAGTTAGAAGAAATGTCTCCATATAATTAATCACGAACTTTCACGTATTTTTGTGATCGATTTTGACAATGATTATTGATTGAAAAGTTACTTTCTATTTTACTATCCTAGGATTATTTTAATATCCTAATTTTATTAACCTTTCATTATTCTTCCATTTATTAATTTGTTTCACTATATATGATATTTTGCATAAAAAGTAAATTTAAATTCAATTAAACAAACTCGAAATCTCGCAACAATAAATTTTAAAATTTTACTCGACGTAAGTAAGTGACTTTAATTTTTTTCTCTTCTTTTAAATTTTTGAAGGATATCTAGAATGTTGAGGAAACTTTCGTATAAACGAAAAACTTTCACATAAAAAATTACAAAATTAATAATAAGGATAAAATAAAAAAAAAGAAGATAATTATTTAAAAAATAAAATCCAGTCACGAAACGAAATTACTTAAAGTTACACCTCGTAACAATTTGACGACACGATGCTTCGATTAACATTTTTCTTCCTTCGAAAATACTTGTAAAAAGGGGGGCACACGTGAACTGGTTCACTCAAAATTTCCATATACGCTTGATCGATTACAGTTTTCACGGTTTTATGTAATTTTTTGCAATATGTAATTATGTTAAAAAATTTACTACACGAGAGAAATTATATAACGCGAGCACGATAATGATTATTTATTTTTATTCTTTATAAATGGATCAGCGAAAGTGGAAATTTTCGTGGATCGAGAAAAAAAAAGAGGCACGTAAAAATTTATCGCGATATTTGTCACTTGAAAATGAAGCTAGATTTTAAAGGAACGAGATTGAACGTTGATACACGAAATAAAATTCAATGGTATGCGAGGGAAAGTGATATTCGTTACATCTGGATCATCTATAAGAACCACTTTCAACGCCACTATCCCCGCTGTTTCATTAGCCACACCCATGCACGAATTTGGCCTGGGCTTGACAAACATTTTTCGAAACTCGCACGAACAACTCTTATTTGAATTTATATCGATCTAATTTAACATTTTCTTTTAACCGAATGCAATTCGCTATTTCATTTTTTAAATAGTTTTTAGTCTTTTTTTTTTTATGATGTTTCTTCGTGATTGAATTAAAAATTAATTGGAATATTCGATTCTATCAAATTTGTAATTCAAATTCTTTGAAACAAATTAATTTTAAATATATTATTTAAATTAATTAATTTTTATTTTCCTCCAATAAAAACATCATACGTGATAACAAATCCAAAAAAAAAAGTCTTTTACTTCTCTCTATTAATAATTTTTACTCAATAAATTCAATACTCTCATTTCTTAATACCTTTTCAAATAATTCTATTCTTCTACAAAATTTCAAAACCTATACAAAATCCAAAAAAAAAGAAAAAAAGATTTTTATTCAATTCCTAATTAAAAATTCCTATTCTTTTCAAAAAATCTAAATTCCCTATATACATCCTATACAAAAATAATTCTATCGTATCATAATCCAATCGAATCGATTAGCAAGGTTTTTCAATTAAAAAAAAAGAAAAAAAAAAAGAAAGAAAAGGAAAAAAAAACAAAAGAGCGAAGGTTTCGCCTTGAACCCTTTCCAATTCGTCCCTGCCATTCGATTTTAATTGAAACTGGCTCCTTTCGTTATCGAAAAGACGTTTAATACCACAAGACGAGACGGGTCGAACGCGACCATTCATGGGCAACGGTCGCAGAGAAGAAAAAGAAGAAAAAGAAGAATACGGTATGGATACTCGTTTTCAAGCGATTATGTCACAAACGTGGCTCGTGTAGACACGACTTCTGTCCTCGTCTCTCGAGTTTTTCACCTCATTTCGCCCCTTTCCGTTTCTTCTCATCTCGTATTCACACTTCCTTTTCTTCCTTTTAATCGCATCTCGATCTCTCGTGATCCGCGGTCTGCACGGCCAAAAATATCGAATTTCACGCGTGGCATACCGTCGTCAGCCAACCACCATTCTGTTATGCATAACAAATTGATTTTGGCGAAATTTCGAAATCTGTTCGATTTTTCTTTTTCACTCTTTTTTCTTCTTCTTCTTCTTCTTTCGATCGGTTGTTTGATCAAGGTTGTTTTTTCATGTTGCACAACATTTTCCCTTAACGGGGAAAGATTCGAATTTTGCGGATTTCAACGGTTGATCTCGATGATAATAAAGTGGCTGTTGCAACCGATTAATAATAAAGTGGATCTTATTGCAAAGTGAAGTCGAAGGCGTAAATAAGCGAGGAAGAAGAAAATCAAAGCGGTGAATTATTAATTTCTCGATAAAATGAAACAGAAGGTTTGATGAATATCGAATACAGATTATGTTTCACAACCGATGTTTCACCGACGCAAGAATTATTAATAATTTTATTAAGTATAAAGATGTATAAATAATTTCAATTTTGAGATTAATTTAGAGTAGAAAAGGGGATCGTTTTAATTTTTTTACTCCTCAAATAATTTTTATCAAATTATTACGAAAAACTTGTTCGAAGCGAAAAGAAGAGAACACGAGAATAATATTATTTCATTAAATATTCAAAATTTGATTATACAATTTACAATCATACACATATCTAATCACAAGATAAATTATATTTTCTTGTAACACGTTTTCTAATGAAACTTCATAGTTAATAATAAAATAAAAAAAAATATTATATAAAGATATGTAAAGGTGGAAATATCGTTACAGGAGCTCGAGGAATTTAATTGAAGTCTTTAATCGTCACTTTCTTGATTATAGATTTGATAAAGCATCGATTGAACGTTGTTAATTGGACAACTATTTCGACATCTTTTTTTAATAAGTAAATATCATTGAATTGACAATATTCTGACTTCGTCGAAACTATGAAATATAATCTTCTCGTTCGGGATTCCATGCAAATTAATTGGTACATCAAAGTCTCGAGAAATATTAACTTTTGACACGGAATAAATAAATAAAGAAAAAAAAAGCAAAGTGTGATGTTCATTCAAGATTTAACAGGATCGACTTGCAGCTGAATATTCATCGAGCATTGTCTTCTATGAATATTTTAACGACATCTTCGCGAGACAGACACACTTCTGCCTCGATTTTATGCATTCTGGACGCACTTCCGACACGAACAATATTTTTCTTTTTCGATTCTTTTGTTCATTCCGGTTCAAGGAAAGTCTTCGACTTTGTTTTGCTCCTTATTAGAATTTTCATTTCGCTTTTATTCTCTAATTTTTATATAATTTTGACCAGTTATTGCAATAAAAGCTAATTTTATTTAATTTTGATAAAAAATAATAATTTATATCGATTTATTAAAATAATTATTAATCACAAATAATATTAATAATATTTTTGAGAAGAGTTAATCACACTCGTAATTATATGATGATATAATTATTTTTCAATATTCCAAATGATAATGAAGCGGCATACATGTAAGTATTATTGATTGAATAATACAATAATGAAAAAATGAAGAACGTAACAATTTTTCATTAACGTGGAATTATTAATAAATAGGATTAATATACATAATGATTTTGATTGAAAAATGAACGATTTAGAATTGAAATGTCGATGATAAACGATGGAGTTAAATTATCGAGAAAAATCATCATAAATTACAGTGTGTGTACAGAAGTTTGATGAGGGAACCGAGAATTAATTTCTCAAGAGTGACAATATCATCGAATGTAAGAATACACCGTCTCTCGTGGTTGGATTTCGATATCCTGTTGCAAGTGCAAGGATGCAGCTGCACCTCCATGGATGTTGTGTTTATGCAACCGCAAAAAGCATAATCGTATGAATTATGCAACGTTTAACGATTGATACAAACATTTAATCGTTATTTATAAAAGAAAACAAGAAATTATTAATAATTAATTGCATTATTATTTTACATCATCTTCATCACTGGTCTATTCTATTTTATTTCCAATAAAAATTCTCTGATTTTTGACTGTATCTTGGGCCAATTTTTTTTTTTTTTTTATTCTATTTATATTATCAATTTTTATTTTTGGATCAATAAGATTTTAATTCCACACTGATTATCTTACTTGGAACTAGCTACGATATAAATATATCAAGAAAATGATCGTAAAATTACATACTGAATCGCAATCATATTTTTAATAGACGATACTTTTATCTATTAAATATCCGATTTGACACGCGTAATTACATTTTTCTTCTCGCCCGTTGATTTATCGTTTAGACTTAATCAATATGGGAAATCTTAATCGTTTGAAACTCTTTTTTTACGAAAAAATCCATTTCCAAGAACGTTCTCCGCATCGTTTTCTTGATATATCAACAAGATCTTCCCACACCGTTTTGTTTTTCTCTCTTCTTTATTTTTTTCTTCCAATAACAAGTGGAAAATCATTCGATACGATCGTCTGGCTTCGATCATCGCGATTATCAAGAATCAAGGAATCTTTCTGTTTCAAACAAGCGTGCAACTTTGTATATGCTCCATCACAAACATAGAAATACTTGGACTTGGACTTACCGGAAACCGAGAGATTTCGCACGTCGAGGCCTTTTTGCACCAAAGTGGTGCATCTGCAAATAGCTTCCGTTAACTGTTCCACCTCAGAAACGGAAGTGTAACAGACCACCTCTCTGCCTGGTGATATCTTCTGTTTCGGGCATTCTGAAATCAATCAACATGTAAGAATAAATTATTAATAATTCACATACAATTTCATACACATTTAACTTTTGTATCTTATTATTACATTCTAAACTGCAATCAATTGATATAATCCCAATAGCAATATAAACATTCATCGAAAAAATTAATATAATCTGAGTATTAATATCGACAAAATAATATAGAATAATCATTTATCAAGATTATTTTAATCTCTTCGTTCAATGGACTTGACACGATTACACGTAACGAAATTAATGATATTCCGTGGCCGTGAACGAAAAAAGGAAAAAAAGAAAAAAAGAACGAGCCAAAAATTAATAGGTTCGATAGATCTGTTTGTTATGTACATTGATTGACATCATCCTTCGCGTACGCTATGCAACCGTTGCTATAATAATCGTTTACATAGGCCTTGCGGCTCGCCGACGAGGAAAAAAGGATACTCGATGCTAAGGATGCTCTGACAGAAGATGTCGGTAGCTGTGACATTTATTATCAATAAATTTCAATATTGATGCCCAGAGGAAAATGTTTCCACAATGGAGGGAACGAAGGAGGAAGAAAGTGTGAATTGTTCGAAATTTTTAGAAATTTAATTATGATAATCTACTTTTTGGGGGGGGAGGGAATATTTTTAAAAGAGAGAATTAGATTTGGGACGAAATGAACAAAATTTTTTTTTGTTGGATTTGTTGGTTTCGATAAAGGGGAAAGATTTTAGATTAGTTTCTGTTTAAAGTGGAAAATTTTAGGTGTAAAGCATATTTGCATTTAGATTTGGATGATTATCGATAAATAATTGATGATCATCAAAAGTGTTCCATATATACGCAAGAAATTATTATTCTAACTCAAATTAGTATTGATAACATTCTTAAATATTCTGATTTCGAAATGATCATATTTTTATATTACAATCATTCTATGTTTTCACCTTTTAAAATTAAAAACTTATATATGAATTTTATAGAAATCGAAAAAAAACTTCAAATTTAGATAAAATAAAGATAAAATATTTTAACTTTAAAGATCTGCCATTCGATAAAAATTTTGTATTTATAGATAAATGATTAATCTATCCATAATCCAACTAAAATTTCTAACAATCCAAGCGATTACCAAGTGGAAAGTTAAAATTTACATTAACGTTACATTATCTTATACATAACAATAATCTCAAGAAATTCGAGAAAAGTTGCTCAAGTTGGGAAGCGGAGAAAGTGCACACCCACACGGATCTTATTTTCTCAAATCGCGTGATCCATGGCCAAAACGAAAGTTCCGTTTACCGATTTTTATCGAAGATGTATGAGCACACTCCCATCCAAAGAATCCGATTCTCGAGCATCGTTGCACGTGCTTACGAACGCGAAGATCGACCGGATTTAACGGCGTAAATGGCACTATCCTTGTATGGATCGTTGCTCCAGTTGGCGATGGCGTAACCTAACCTTAGAGGACAACGTGTTCCCGATATCGTTTACCCGATCGCGAAGAAGATGTGGTGATTGGACATCGTTCGATTACGATGGATATTTAAGTAAGTTTCGTTTCGATCCAAGGTGGAACAAAAAATTTCTGCGGTGTAAATCGATTTCAACATGGAGGATTTTATATAGTGGTTTGAATAATGTACGATCAAATTATTGTTTTATAATCGACTTTTAGAAAAATTTGAACGAAACGAGAGCAGAATCTTTGAAATGAAAAGAAAATATTTGTACAATACGAGATTGAATTTACAGTTATTACAAATTATGATGTTTTTACGAATTGGTATAATCGAGGAAAGGAAAATTTAGAAGAATTTAAACTAAAATGAGAATAAAAATTTTTGAAATGATGAACGAAGAATGGAGAGTATGAAGAAATTAGATTTGAGGAGTTGATTTTTGAATCTGGAAAAAATTTGTAAGAGATTTCCACGAATCTTAATGAATAATTAATGAATGATTAATGTAAAATAGGAGGTAATGATATATGTAATGATATACTTCAAGTAATACACTTCGCTAGACATATTCCATTCATTATTACTTTCATTCATATTGCTTACTTTCATTCAATGGAGGACAGTTTAGGTTTAAAACAAGTCTATCGAATTGACTTTTCGTTTCTTAAATTACATTGATTAATATAGAATTAAAAATTAATAAATAAAAATATGAATTTAGCCTGAGGTAAAATAATTATGAGATAAGAATTTCAATTTTTAATGAGTTTCTCTAATGATATATATAAATATGTTTTAAACGAGATTAGAATGGATTATGATCGTTAAAATATAATTATTCTATCTATTTCTATAACAACAATTATTTAATTGTTAATCAGCACGAGTAATAAATATAAAACTTATTTCTTCATTAAGGAATATTATTAAACAAAACGATTAGTTTTATTTAATAATATTTTTAGTTATTATTGATACCATGTTAGAATTTTTCATTCATTAAAATCCACAATATGATATTTCCATGATCGTTCAAAATTTGTGCATAAAAAAAAAAAAAAAAAAGAATAAATGTGCAAAGTGTGCAAAAATTAGTCAAGCTCAATCAAGTTTCCATCAAGTCCATGAAATTCAAAGATATTTAATTTTGCTGATGGAACACCTTCTTATCATTGACGTAACAGATATTATATATTTTTATAGAAAAAAAATATACATATTGTGTCATGGTACTAAAAAACTATGTAAATTTTTTAAATTATTATCTTAATCAGATTCCATTCCATAAAATTCCAAAAATTCTTTACGAATTGAGTAAATAGAATGATATGACATCTTCTAATCATTATAAATAAAAAATCTTCATTAAAAATTTTGTAAAAAATTTGCAAAAAATTGTTCAGATAAAAGTTTTTAATCAATCTCCATTATATATATATATATAAAGTCCCAAAGATAGTCAAAACAGGTATGATGAATCCTGATGATCATTATCAATGCAATAATATTTATATTTTAACAATCGTTACATAATTTTGAAAAAAATACATCCTATGGCAGGATACTAAGAAAAAAGTTATAGAAATATTTAAATTATTAAAATAACACGATCAATTTCCATTCTTGTAAAATTCCAAAAACAAATCCTTCAAATCCATATATTTAATAACTCTATATAATAACCAATAGCTTTTAAATCCAAATGAAAAAAAAAAATATATGCTAAGCCAAGATATTAATAACCACAACTACATAATTTTTTAAAAATAGCACAACCAATTTCCATTCTACATAAACAAATTCACATATTTAACTTAACACTAAGAACCCTAAATTTTCAAATCCCAAACGTTATATTCAAAAAAAAAAAAAAAAAAAAAAAAA